TAGATGGAATAAGACACGCTGCATATGAAGATTTGATAAGGGGTTGTTCATTAATGACATCAAGGAGGGTTTCAGATGTATAGAAGTCTGTAGGAGGTAAACAGGGGCGCAGAAAAGAGGGTGTGGACCCCCCTTAAAAATTTTGAGCCGTGCTATCGCTGTGGTTCAAAACTTTGGGGGGGGGGGGGCACCTGGCATCCTAAAGATGGATGAATTAAGGATTCAGAAGTGATTTTTTCTGACTCATAGGTTTGAATGCAGGGTCATAACTAGGAATTTGAAGAGGGGGGGGGGGTCATTTTTTGCATGAAAAAATTTAAGGGGGGGGGGGGGGATTTTTGCAAATTTTGATTAAAGTCCTAGCAACATGAAGAATACTTCTGATACAGAAGGGTGTTTTGTAAGCCCCCCCCCCCCCCCACCCCGGCCACGTGCCTGTTTGAATGACTATAAAAATAACATTTTATAACAAATTTTTCTAAACATTCAAATTCATCGGATATAAGTGAATAGCATTCGACTAGTTAAAAAAGCAAACAAAACAAAAACAAATCCAGAATTGAAAGTGATACGGAAATGAAAATTGATAAATAAATAGACAAAATTGCATCATCAGCATCGAATGCACTCAATTATTTTAATTAATTCTATTTCATTTAATGTTGCTAATTGGCATAAAATTCACTTTGTTGATTGAAACTATAGATTCCTGCTAATTAAATAAATGTTGAATAGAAATTGTGAATTATTTTTAAAGAGATATTAATTAACATTAGTTTGGAACTTGTTAAATGTTGTAAATTTGAATAGACAAAAAGTTTTGAAACACAATTAAAGTATTGATTTTATTAATGATGTAAAGTAGAGAAAGGATGTATTGATGCGTAATTGTCATGCATGTTAATTTTATATTGTCTAAATTTCAGCTTTAATAATCAGCAATTTCCAAAAATTCTTTAAAAAGAGTTCATTTTAAAGCATCGGTATACACAAAAGAGATTTCTAAAGGAGAAGTAGTTATAGAAAGTAGAGAGGGCAGCTTGAGAAGTAGCTACATCCAAAAAAAATAAAATCATCCCCCCTCAAAACACTACACCCCTAGATACCCCAGACTCCTCAATCTTATTATTTGATCATCTATTTTCATCAATTTTGCTAGGACTCATTAGAACCGAATAGCTTGACTAAAGGTGCTACCAAAAAAATGAAGAAAAATCAATACAAAGCTCAGATCCCATGCACATGACTACAATTACAAAATAAGGTAAAATAAATAGTGTTGTTGACCACTTCAACAATGCAAATAAAAAAGAAAATTGCACGATATTGTTATTTATGTATTATTATCATGGCGATGACAGGAAAATGTGGAAATTATGTTAAAAACTTTTTCCTCTGCAATAACATTCGCATGTGTCGTTCATCATTGCTATTGTGTAAATTTGCATGAACATAGTTTACTTTATAGGATGAATGTGAGAAAGAAAATATTTCTATGGTAATGTCCTTACTATCCCCTATTTATTACACTTATTGTTCCTTAATAAACAATATTTTTTCTCATCTCTGTGTGTCGAATTCAAATGAAAAGCTCTTCATGCTGTATGAGTAGGATGAGCAGCAGCAGCAACAGTATGAAGAAATATGATGATTATGATTATTTTGAAAATAATAACATTGCTGGCATTGACAACTTTATCATGTCAATTGTATAGCAGTGTGATGGCAATGAATTAAATTCTCATGTCATTTTTTTTCCTCTTCTCATTCATCTATCCATCTTGTTGATGCTTATTTTTCTTCATATTCCACTCTCTATCTTTATCATTTCCACAACATTTTTTTTAGAGAGCTATGAAATGGGGAACAAGAAATGAATGACAGAAAGGAAAGTCATGGAAATGAAATGAATGTGAATCTCAATTGCATAGTACACATCATTCATAAGCATGTCTCGAAATCTCAATCTGAAATATTTGAACGAATATGACGAAGAACTTTAACACTGGAATTTCTTTTTATCGCAACAAATCATGTAAAGTTGGATTATCACTAGGCTGTCCAACTGCGCACTTTTGAGCGGGCAGTTACACTTTTTCGAACCTTTTTTTCTTGGAAAGTGCTTGAAAATTTTGTCTGTTCTGCTTTTTCAGAGCTGAAATTGAGCCATGTTGCTCTTTTGGATCAAAAATCGGCTAAACCGATGGACAGGTAATTTTTAACTGAATAAGTTCAGACATGTCATTAGAAGCCATGTCATTTTGGACCTGTTGACTCTATAATAAGGTCTTCAAATCCAATTTTGGAGATCGAAAGAGATCACGTGTAAGGCCAAAGAACTCTTGGAAAGAGGTTGTTGATAGAGACAGTGTTGCATTTGGAATCGGCAATTGGCTGACTAGCGATAGAGCTAGTTTTAAGGGGACGACTAAGGTAGGTCATGGATCACAACTGATCTGTACGACCAGCGAAGTAAGTAAGGAAGTTCAGATTGACTTTTGGATAAGAAATTGAAAAATGAAGCTTCGCATTACAACTAAATTCGAGTTTTCGAAAATAATTTCACAACATAGCTAGCACTGGTGGGGGTAAAGTTTGGGGTCACCTCCATTTTTTTGAAATAAAATTCTTTAATTTGCTAGGGTTTTTGAGAACCATCCCCTAAATTATCCCTTTCGTTCGAAAACTAGCTAATCCCTAAACCCCTGACAGTTAGTTTCCAATTAAGCATTTCACTCTTCATCCTCCACTTCAAAACAGCAAAGCATATGCAGTCAAAAAGTATACCATCATATCAACATTAATGTTTCAATCTTCAATGTGAATTGACTCGTAATCAATTGCAGCAAAGTAAACTAAATTAATGCATGAAAATTAATTTTCAGCTGATTATGCTTGCTAGTACTTGAGTTTGTAATAAAAAGGTTGTTAAGTACTTGATGCATTTTAATGCAATCTAAATAACAATGATGAAAAAATAATGGATAGTCAAGGAGTGGAAATGAGAGTTTATTATTTGATGTTTATTAATTTTTTTTCTATGTAAATTTATGAGGTTTGTAGAAGTGAAATTATCATGGTTGATGGGAGACGTGCACGCCTTTTTAAATTTTCAATTTTAATTACTTAAGGTTTTAAAGATGTAAAGGTTTTTTTTAATAATGCTAAAATTGTAGAAATTGTAAGTAGTATTTGTAGAAATTGTAGAAATATAGAAATTGTGTGTATGGAGGAAGCTAGAGAGTATCGACTCATAAGAAGGCAGATCTATCAGTTCGAATATAAGCCCTCTGTAGCCTAGTGACTAAATATCAGCTCGAAAATCATAGTCTCAGTTTTGTATGAGGATGTAGGTTCGATTCCCACAATAACCTTGTCTTGTTGTCGTTATGACAACATTACACAAACAGAAGGCTATCATGCTGACTGATTTAATATCAAATCAAGTGAAAAACATACCAGCAAAATCTATTTCATCATATAACCTTAAAAGGTAAAAGGTAAAGCATGGAAAATGGTCGCATGGTTCTTGAGGCACTTCGATTCAAATTAATATTGCCTTAAAGAAATCTATCCCTAAACTTATTTTGTTCACTGTAATCCCAAATTCTACAACCATAATAATTCTACAATCTAGAATTGGCAACTCTTGCATTCCTTCAAAGAACACAAAAAAAACGAAAAAAATAAAGAAATCATCAAAAGTTTGATTTAAAATTGTGGAAATAATTTCATTCAGAACATGTTTACGGTACACAAAAGCGAACTGTTTTTGCCTCAATAAAAATGTGAACATGGGGCAAAAAAAGGGCTTTTTAGAATGAATAAAAAGTAAAAAGAATGGGCCTCTCTTAATATTTAAATTTTCCATTTAAAATCCTCTTCATTTGTAAGCTGTTATAACATATGTATAATACATAAATTTGTATAGAAATGCCTTCATGATTTATGCAATATTGCAATGGAATTTATTCTCTCTTTATTGTGTACATCTTTATTGTGTATGTATTTGATTTCATCCATCCATCCCAATGACTTGCTTTATTGTTACATTTCACAGATCACAGAGAAACAAAAATCTTTTAAGGGTGGGGAGTTGGAGGCAGAAGCACGATAAGTGATACAAAATTGAAGAATGTGTGTGAAAACGAAAATTTTCCTAAGCCATAAATTCCTTTTGTTCGTATGTTTAAAATGCAGATTAAAAGGCATAAAATGAAACATTAAAAATTAATGGAAATGAAAAAGTATGGAAATTTTTCTTTTTGACTTCTTTGGAGTGAAAAAAAAGGAATTGTTTAGGTTTCAAATGAATTTATATTGATGATTTGAAAAATGAGAGCAGAGCGATATCGAGCTTTATGTAGGCGAATCTGTTTAAGCTAGAGTAAAGCCACAAGCGTGTGTTAGAGTTGTTAAGCAATAGAGCTAAACTTTTAAATATTATTTGATTTAGGTAACAAAAGTTTGTGTTGAATTTGGACCCCCGGGATCGAATCCTACCACCAGCCTAGTGATTTTTCAGAAGTTTCGATACTTCGGTTTCTTAGGTGCAGCAGTTTAAGACGTTAATCTAAGAATTAGGCGATGTGAGATGTAGGAACGGGTCAAGAATTATGTAGACAGAATGAGAAAGACACCCTTACCTAGTCGTTTCTGAGTTCTAGATCTGAGATTTGTTATTAAATTAAGATAAAGCACGGAAGTTCATTAACAACCCATCCATAAATTAGTCCTATTCCCCACCACCAGTTAGCACCACCGCTCAACTTCTTATCAATAAAACAAAAAATAAAGATAAAATATTATTTCCAAGATAACAACGACAACGACAATAAATTCATGTATGTGCGATGAGATAAGTTAAGTTTCAAGGTGTGGTGAGCAATTAGATGTCTTAAAATATAGAAAATCGACTTCAGTCACTTGTGGAGTTTATAGTGTTGTGGATATTAAAAGACAGAAGGAAAAGAAAAGAAAAAAAAACTATAAATAAATTGGCAATTTAATAAAAAAAAGAGAAAAAATATTTTGCAGGAAATTTGCAATAAAATAAATCCTCATTCCACTTATAAAATTATCCAGCAATAAAGCTGAGTGTTGAAAATTCAATTTAATTTAGTTAATGGTGAGTTGCATAATATCTAATTTCCATTTACTCCATCCATCTTCACATTGCTATTCACACAGCACAAAATGTAATTTGATACTGATTGCACAAGTTAAATCATCGGGTGTGGCTTCTTTTTGCACAATGAAGCATGAAAGAAATTATTGAAAAAAAAATATATATTTTTGTGCTCTGTTTCCTTTAGCCACTTGAGGAAATCCGAGATGATAAATTTCTACCCTCTCAGTTTTGCAGCATAAAAGCCACAAAAAAAGTATTTAAAAAAATTCTGTGGAAAGCCACAACGAATTGAAGTTTGCAATTTATTAAGTGACCCACCCTTTTATGCATGATGAATAATTTTAATAAGTATTTTATGATGGCTTCAAAATACGACAAAAAAAATTATTAGTCTTTATCTCTTATGTACACCTGACTTAATGCTGATAAACTTTTTTTTCATATTATTTCACCTTTTTTTTGTTGTTCCTTATCAGTTCACTAGAAAAATGTGTGTTTCACAAATTAGATAAAAGTTATTTACAAATGGGAATAAAAAAAAAACAGAATATTTTAGAATTGTGAAACTAATCACGCATACATGCATGTAGGTCATGATGGTAGCGCGAAAAAAAGAGTGTCATTAGATTTTCAATTCTTCATTCTTTATTCAAAACTTATTTATTTGAAATTCGTAACAAACACTTACGTGTAAATTGGATGTGGTTTAACTTTTTTTGAACGCAAAGTTTTACTTTTGATTTTATTATTTGTAATTTTCTGGGTTTTGAAAGCTTTATGAGTATTAGTTCGATAGTAACATTGATTCTATGATTTTAAAGATATTCGTAAAGTTTTAAACTTCAATTAATTTTACTCTGCACGGAACTGCTGTAATTATTTTAATATCAATATATTACAATAGCTGAAACATCATCCCACTCAAGGCTATAGCAAGAAAATTTGAATTTAATTACAGTAGCGCTCAAAATGATAAGGACAGCAAAATTTTTTTCACATTTTTATTAATTTTGACGCACAGGATTATCTAAATTTGCTGAAATTTGGACCAGTTATACAGTTTTAAATGTCCTTTGATACAATATATACTAATTGTACTTTAATTAAATATTTTTGAAAAAAACGGTAAAAAATCAAAATGGCTGCCGCTCAAAATGATAAGGACAGTAGATTATGTTAAGATTTTATTATATTAAGTAATATTATGGAACTTTTAAGACTTAAAACATTATGTTTGATGAATATTCTTTAAATAAATTTATAATTCACGCTTCTAGATGTAAGACTTCTTACTTAATTTTAGTGTTTAAAAATATGTGAAAATTTTGTCAATTTATGATAAATTGTCGTACAGAAACTTGTTTATTCTTTAGGTTAACTACCAAAAATTATAGATAATTTGATTATTTATCAATTTATGATCAAACATTTAGATAACTGTTAATTAATGTAAATTTTTTTCAAAAATTTTATTTTTCCTTTGCGAAATTTTTGTGAACTGAAGTGGACAATTTGGAAAAAATTGTTAAATATTCGCAAAACAATGCTTAAATTAGTATATTTCTCTTTCATTTTAATTGTTTAATAACATATATCAAGCAATTGAGCGCTTCGAAAGGATTAAGCGACTAAGCAATCGTTCTCTTTCAACAACAAGACTTTTTGATATGGCAAAAATGAAAAATGTGTTGAAACCTAAAAAAATATGATTTACATAAGTGAAGTTTCAACATAAAATAATTAAATTTGGCTTTTTTAATCGAATAACACTCTATTTTGTATTCTATGAGTGCTAAATATAACATTTTTACAAAAAAATATTTCTTCATATTTTTTCGTCTTGAGAAGCTCATAGAGAACGATTGCTTAGTCGCTTAATCCTTTCGAAGCGCTCAATTGCTTGATATATGTTATTAAACAATTAAAATGAAAGAGAAATATACTAATTTAAGCATTGTTTTGCGAATATTTAACAATTTTTTTTCAAATTGTCGACTTAAGTTCACAAAAATTTCGCAAAGGAAAAATAAAATTGTTGAAAAAAATTTACATTAATTAACAGTTATTTAAATGTTTGATCATAAATTGATAAATACTCAAATTATCTATAATTTTTGGTAGTTAACCTAAAGAATAAACAAGTTTCTGTACAAAAATTTATCATAAATTGACAAAATTTTCACATATTTTTAAACACTAAAATTAAGTAAGAAGTCTTACATCTAGAAGCGTGAATTATAAATTTATTTAAAGAATATTCATCAAACATAATGTTTTAAGTCTTAAAAGTTCCATAATATTACTTAATATAATAAAATCTTAACATAATCTACTGTCCTTATCATTTTGAGCGGCAGCCATTTTGATTTTTTACCGTTTTTTTCAAAAATATTTAATCAAAGTACAATTAGTATATATTGTATGAAAGGACATTTAAAACTGTATAACTGGTCCAAATTTCAGCAAATTTAGATAATCCTGTGAGTCAAAATTAATAAAAATTTGAAAAAAATGTTGCTGTCCTTATCATTTTGAGCGCTACTGTACATATAGGCTGTCCAATTGCGCACTTTGAATCAGACAGTTCCGCCAAAAATCGATAAGCTGGTCAGCTTTTTTGAACTTATTTTTCTTGGAAAATGTTCAAGCTCGATAAGCTGGTCTGTCTCGTTTTTTTAGAGCTGAAACCGGGACCCGCTTTTTGACCAAAAATTGGCAAAAATCATTGGACAGCCTATTTAGTAAAAGTGTTAATTGATAGAGTTAAAGAGGAAAGGGGGTGGGGGTATAGTTGAGATTTAAATTTGTTATGGGATTCATAAAAACCAAAAGTTCTTGCTTTGATCCCACCCCATATGCAACAAACCTAAATAGCACAAGTCGGTTAATCGAATAGAAATCTAACGCCAAACTGGCATGATTTTAGCATGGTGCTGGCTTCGATTTAAATCCAGCTCCATACCAGAGTCACACCAGCTTTGCCTCGGATTTCTAATCGATTAACCGACTTGTGCCATTCGGGAAACACACTTTATAATGACACCCAAAACTTCCGTATAAAAATACCAAACATAAACTTTACCAAGCCGTAAAAAAATGTTCATCAATATAGCACTGGCTTATCTAAAAAAAAGTGATTTAATTGATATAACATCGATGCATTGCGAAGTCGGTGTAAATTTCAAAAACTTGACTCGTGCGTGTAGTTGATAAAAACTCAAATTCAATTGATTATATTTACCTAGAAAGAGAAGAAAGAAAATAAAAATGTTTGAGTAAATTGTGAAATTTATCAAGGTTAAAATTGAGAATTTAAAAGCAAATAGAAACATGCAGACAAAAATTACATTTTAAGCAATTATTAACCCCAATAGCACTTTAAGCTCATCTATTCATTCCATTTCAAAGACATTTTATTTTATTTTCTCAAATAAAAATTTTCTCCACAGGTTTCTGAACCAATAAAAGAACCAAATTGAAGCTAGTTCGTTCATTGAGACGAGAATATAAAGACACAAAAAAAAAGTAATAAAAATGCTGCTGAGAATTGTGACAAATTTCCAATTTCTACTTCTCGTGCTTCTTTCGATTGCATTGTCAAGCTATGCACAAGATAATGCACAACTAACGATTGCACGAGCATTAAGGAGATGCTATCAAGACCGTAACATATTTGAGCGCGATAATCGCTTACCAATGACACCCCAAATGCTCATTGAATTAATAAGAAAAGTTGAAGACCATCCTTCGTTTACATTGGATATGCGACAATTGGCAACGAGTTTGCTATTCGCCTTTAAACAAGATGGAATTCGACGTAAGTAATAAATTGAATTTTCTATGGAAAAACAAGTTTTTAGTCATCAAGGTTTGGAATGAAAAGCTTATGAGTTGTATGCTATATATAAAAGAATGACGAATTATGATAAGAATTGTAATCTCTATTGATTTATAATATTTTCATTCTACACACATTGATCAAGTGCAAAAAAAAGAATCAACCTGTTGAAAAATTGATAAAATGCCTCACCTAAATTACCAATACTATTAAAAAAATGCTTTAATTTGTTTTTAGCGACTACAACGGCTGTCGTATCTGACGACATTCTTCCATTTTCTGTGAGCGGATTCAATCACTATAAAAATCGAGTTCTCTTAACACGTTTGATTACGGGAAATGCAAACCAATTTCCAAACGGAACGCTTACTGATGTCGAACATGTGAGTCATGGTTGTTATTAGTCATCGTGACTAGACACATTATTTACTCTTTTTTTGTGGACGCACTTTTAAATGCTTTTCTCTTTAAAGTTTGACAAAATAATTCCATTTAAATTTAAATTTTCAAAAATTGCCAATTAAGAAAAAAATCCATGGATACAAATCCAATCCCACAACCCAATTAATTCCAATAAAAGGCATTCAATTAATCATTAAATTTATTTTTTAACCATTTCAGTGCGCACTTCATTTCATGTTATCAACATCAATTGAGACACATGTTCGCGGTGATGAAGGTTCAAGATGTAATCAATTAGCACAATTACGTTCATCTCGTGTCCCGAGAGAGGCTGGTGAAGATACAGAGCTCCTTAAAACACCAGAAATGGATAAAATTAAAAAACGAATGCATGCAAAATTCGGAAAGTATCAAGTTGAAGATGAGGAACAACAGGAAGATGCACCAGCAGATGAGGAAGCACCACAAAATGATGAAGGAGAGGCACTTGAAGGTGATGAAGAAACTGTTGATGTTGGAGTGCAACAGGGTCAAGTAGATGGTACACAATCACCAAGTCAATGTCCCGTTGAAAATGGAGTTATATTCTCGACATGGGGTTCAATATCAGCTGGCGCAGTCATGGCTGGAATTGCAACTGGTCTCGTACCACAAACTATTACTGTTCGCGAACTTATTACCAACGACCATATTATGGAACATTATAAATTAGCACGTCAAACAGCTGGACAAATGACTGTTGATAATCGTTATGCTGCAACATTAAGCGGTGATGTTGCAGAAGCAGTTTTACGTCAAGTGCCACGTGAGATTCAAGTCGGTGCTTCAGGTGCATGGAACGTAACAGCTGTGCCACACTGGTATTTCCTTTCACAACGAGATCGTTTTGAACAAACCGATGCTGAGATTCGTGGTGGAATCGATGGACTTTTAATGGGTTTGAGAATTCAAGAATGGCGCAATCGTTTCACTAACCTAAGATTGAGTCAAGTACTTGATATGTATTACTCACAACGTGGATTATTTGGTACAACTCAAACTCCCGAGACATCAATTCGTGCATGTAATCGCAATGAAATGTTCTCAACCATTCCAATGACAACATTAACTCAACAATCAATCGCATTTACAACTGTTTTGGATGGTGAAATGACATCAGATGTAACATTATCTGTAAATTCAACAAACAGAATTGCAACGGCAGCAACAAATTCACTCCAGCAGTATATCGGTAAGTTTATTAATTTGTTATTTCCGAATGCACTTGTAACTAATATGAAAAAAATTATGACAACACCTTTTTTTATCTGTACAGCAAATTCACTGAGAGATTTGACATGCGCTACTACAACCGAAAATGTTGGTAGTGAGACAATTTGGCGAACGGCCAGTGATATTTTTATTTTTGTTGATACAACATGGGCTTTTGTTGAAATTCGTGCAGCAATAGGGTGAGTCTATGATTTTAAAATTTGAAATTAGATATCATAGCCTGTGCTTATGATGTTTTTGACTTGCAACAAGCTTAACTGTAAGGTCACAACCTTACCAGTCATAATGATCCGAACATCCAAGTCATGTTGGCATAAATTCCAAAAACTTAATATTAAATCTTAATTTTGATCCACAGACATTTACTGAACAACTTAGATGTTGGACGCTTTGGAACCAGCTACACAATATTGAATGCTAATGATGGAACTGTTATCGTACCAACAACAAATCAACTATCTGATTTGTATACACAATGGACATTAGCAACACACAATATGCGTACGTATTGAACCCTCATATAAATTTTTTTTTCGATATAAATAAATAAATTATTTTTGTGTGTCACCTGTTGCATTGTATATTACTTGATATATCCATGGGAAATTTCCTATCCATTAATTTTAATTTATTAACACGAATTTTTTTTTATTGTGAATTTTTGATTCGATGTTTTTAAGTAACACGTGTTTTATATTGATATCTGTAGAACCTCAAGGTCTAAATCTAGCTAATGTAGTCCGTGAAGCACGCAGCACAGTCGAAAGCTTTATGAATGGTGAACGCGAGCATCAAAGTCCCGGAGGACGTTCTCTTATTTCACTCGTCATTGCCAACCAAGGTAATGTAAATGAAGCCGACTCAAACTTTGCCAGTGAACAATTACGTATTATGCAAGAAATATTGCCCGATTTACGATGGATTTTCTGGACGGGTGGATCACCAAATCGATTTGAACGTTTCGTTCGCGAGCCAGCAAGAGATTTATATCAGTTACGTATATTTTTACAAGGCGTCGGAGGCGAATCAATACAAGTGAATGCTCACCCTGTCATTCATCGCATTCAACAGGAGCCGAGAAGGATCATTAATCACAGGTGTGTATATATACATAGACATGCTATGCTGACATTTTATGGCAATCTAACGACTTTTATTTTCAATTGTTCCGAATGATTTCATTTTCTATTCATTCTTTATTTGTTTTTTAGATGTGGATCAAATTGGCAGTGGGATAACTGGGGTGATGTACAAATGACACAATATATTGAACCTCGCGGCATCGTTTTCTATCGACTTCATGCAAATTACTTCTTTGGTGGTGCAGATCGTCAAACAGTGAGAATTATTGGCGCTGGATATTCAACTCTTACTGTGTGTCAATCAAGATCTATTGAAAGACCAAGGTAGGCATTTTCCTCTTCCTGTTGCTATGTTACTGCTTTAGCAACGCTACTTTTTCTTTTGTTTTGGAGGCGGAGTGTTAATGAATTAAATGAACAATTAATCTCGCCTCGACATTTTTGTTTGCCATCGGAACAAACAAAAGAAACATTTTTTTATTCTCATTAATTGTAATTTCCATCTCCTATCACCATCTTATATTTCCTTTATTTATCTCCCCCAAAAAAAAATATTACACAGAGAAAATTCAACAAATCAGAATCAAAATGGTGAGATAGTATGTTCTCGGATTAATAATGATGTCGTCGAAATTGATCTACGTTGGGCATGTGATTCAAGCGGATTAATTCAATGGTGTCCACCACTCTTCATATCCATTGAAGGACCAGCACAACATGATGGATTGCAAGCAAATTTGAGATGTATTGATCGTGAATGTCGATTCCCAGACAATGCAAGATTCCAGATTAACAGTGAGAACTTGGGCTGCTGGAGTGGAGTTGGACAAGTTGCAGTATCATTAGGATTAATTTTATTATCAATTATTATGACAATAAGAGTTTAAGAATTTATTTTAACATTTTATTTCCGTGTATCTAGTGCATTTAGCAGCATAAATTAAATTAAATTTTGTGACAATATTTTTGAAAATCTTTCAATCTTGTTAAGTTGAATGTGATTTTTAAATGCCAAATTAAGCTTGAAACATCATAAATTCAGCAGTTAAAATTCAAAAAATTTCAATTCTATCATTTTTCATCCAAAAGTCAATGCACTTTTGCATCTATCCCATTTCCTTTTTTGCTGATTTCCAGTAATTCATCATTCATGTCGTCCTCCTCTATTTTTTTTATCCCCCATTCAATTATCATCCATTCCTTATTTCACCATTATTATTATTATTATTATTACAACTTTTTGTTATTATCATTTTTATGGCAATTTCTTTTTTCCAATAGGAAACAAACAAGCAACTAGTTCTTAAGTACATGAATTTTAAAAATGTAATAATGTGCAGAGATAGTCTAAGAGAAATATTCACACAGACAATAGCAAAAAAAAAGTTCAAATCTAACTTCAACTGTACAAATTAAATCATGATAAATTGAACACATTTTTCGCTCCGTTTTATTTTTTTTTTTAACAAAAAAGTTTTCTATTTTTTGCATATTTTCATATCAACGAGAATTTTTTTTCAGAGCTATTATGGGAGCTTGAACCTTATCGCTTTGCTGTTTCTTCTTTCGTCTTCACTCTTCACTCATCCTTCAGGCAATTGTTGGATGCATTACTTTCCATTTGAAATGATTTCAGATATTTTTTTTTTGCTATCTTTCGCTCATTTATTTCGTTCTACAAACTGCAATTTAACAGTAAATACATTTTTTTTTGCTGTATACGAGCGCTATAACAATATTTGAGTCGAAAAGTTATTTTTTTCTGTATAAATGCGGCAGTCAGAAGAGCAAACAAGAAGCACAAAACGATAGAAAATGTAAAATTCCATTTTCCATTACTTTTATGTTTAATAACAATTATTTGGTGCTTTATCTATCTATTTTTTGAATATTCTTTTTATTTACAACAGACATTGTTAGTACTTGAATGATTTTGTAGAAAAATACTTGCATTGTCCAATGGGAGGAATTTTTATATGTTTTTATAGGAACTAAAAAATTTGAATTTTTCATAATTGGAGATTTTTTTTGAATGAGTTGAATGGAGTTTAGTGGATGAAGCTTTTGATTTGAAGCATTTGGACTATTTTTCAATTGGAATGGAGAGGCTCTTTATTTGATTTGATTTTATGTTTATAATTCGATGTTGTGAGCAGGTACGTAGCCATCCGGGGGTATTTGAGTGTCAAATTCGCCTACATCAACAGAAATGTCTTCATTTTATTAGGGATTTTATGATAAAATCTTAAAAATCTCTCGCAACATAACATTTTTTTGCCCCCTCCCCCTTTCCAATTTCAGGCTATGTCCCTGATCGTGATCATTATTTCAATCCATGTCACACTGACAAACACTTTAAATAATAATTTGAGAGCCTCTTGTGGGAATCTTTCTCACAATAGAGGATTAATAACCGGTATGCTGCCTAGCCTTTCGGTTACAGAGACCTTACTATCGCACTGACAGATTCTCCTAGATATAGCTTGATATCCCAGATGTCAAACCCATGCTCAGACAGTACAGATATACTAAAATAGCACAAGTCGGTTAATCGAATAGAAATCAAGCGCCAATTTCACATGACTCTTGCATGCTGCTGGCTTCGATTCAAATCCAGCACCATGTCAAAGTCGCTTGATGCCGGATTTATGATTGATTATCTGACTTGTGCCATTCGGATAAGTACCTAAATTGAGAATGAGGTTAGTTTTTCCCCCAAAGTTTAATCTTGCTTTAATCAAACATTTAAATGACGTCATTTGCAAAAAAAGTTGAGTTTCTTGTGCGAAATGTGCAAGAATCAAATCAATTTGGAACTAAATCTATAAAACAGCAATTAGTCTTTCAAAAAATCATTTGAAATTATTCTTTTCATCGCACATTTCTCCTCAATTTTAAAATTATTAAAAAAATAATTTTTTAATATTATTCATCAATGCACGAGACAAATTCTAAATAAAGCATAGAAAAATGGAATAAAATGTCCATCCACAAAGAAGATGGTTCAAAGAATAATAAAAATATGACATGAATAATTTAATATTCCTTCATTCTTCCCTGCATGCTGCTCATTTTAAATTCCTCTTTGAACATTTTTTTATGTTGCTTGAAATTTTATTCAAGTTTAAATTTCCATCGTGTATCAAGTGGAGGAATCAGATGAGAGAGAATGAAAATAATTGCATGTAATATGAAGAAATTGACATTAATAAAATCAAGTAGAGCCGACATTTCTCCTCAATGACCTATACAATCTTTCATTTATCTAGCAATTTATTTATTTGCAGGCAATTTATGCTTCAAAAAATGCGCGTCCTTTGATTAAGATTTCTTCTCCCTCCATTTTACGGACTAGAAAGTTTTTTTTTCTCCTTGTTATTAAATTTCTTCGTCTTATTTCATGTCCATTCATTAAAAGCAGCAAAAATTATCTTCAATATCACAAGAAAAAAGTGAAAAGGACACGACGGCGATGAATTTTTACAGTAATTTAAGTTCAACTCAGCTGTCGTCTCTACTTCCGCTCCTTCTGGATGAAATGATTCTCATCATCATCTTTCATAATATTAAGCATAAGCTCTTATGCCTCGAGAAACATCAAAGGAACTTCTCATGGATAGATTTCCGCTTTACGAAAATTAAAAAAAGAACTTTTTTCATATTTCTTCTTATTATTCTTTAACAAGCGACTTTTTTTGTGGCAGGCTTGAATTTATTTGTGTCATAATAATCATTATTTCCTTGTGTGTGTGTCGGCGTTTGCCATTTCTTAACATCATGAAGAGATAAAATTGAGATAATGATCAACTAGATGATGAAAAAAGTTTTTTTTTCCACTTCTTTACGCTCAAATTTTATTTTATGATTTCTCGGCTTAACGCGCCACTCGGTCGTGTAAAACGGAGACAATATCAGTCAACATCAACAACAGGCGTAGAAATGGAAATTTGTCGCTCATTTTTGTAACGGAAAACAATGAATGAAGAGATGAAAACATTTATGTCATCATCAATTGATGATTATTATTATTATGATGAGATTATTGGAGGTTATTGTGGTCTGAATTAATTCTTATTTGAAAGGATAGTTAAGTTATAATTGCAGTACATTAAAATACTTGAAAAATGCTTTTTAGAGTACACGGCAAGGCTATGAGCTTAAATTTGGTTTGATAACTCAAATGTAGTCGGTTCGAATCCTACAATGTAGTTTTTAAACCTTTTCGAAAGTATTAGAATTTCAATGTGGTTTGGTAACTCAAAGGAAGTCGGTTCAAATCTTACAAAGTAGAATTTGACCTTATTCGAGAGCATAAAATGGCAGAGAGATGAGCAACAGCATTGTAAGACATCACACATTTTGCAGACTAAGTTCAATCCTATTTTTAATACCATTCCAGGTTATTTGCATTCTCGAAGCTACTTTGAATGATGTTTATGTGAAATCAAGACACAAGTAGAGCTCCAGGCAAAAGTTTAGATGAGAAACGAGTAGAAAACCTGAAGTGAAGGAAGAGCATTGGAAACAAGAGCTACGAGATCAACTCAAAAATCGAGTATTGATAAAACGTGTAGCTTTGTATAGATGTACTTAATATGTGCGAGAATGCTCATCATCAAAAAACCAATCATCCATTACTGAATCAAAACCTCTCAAAAATGCATAAATAATTCTAGATTCACTCAAATCTACCAACATTACCGATTCTATTTGTGTTTGTTCAACAAAAAATCCTCCATAATAATTTTTTATGCTGGTTTCCAAGAAAAAAAAAAATATTTTTCAACTTAATGCACATGGATTTTTAAAAGCAAATCTATAACAACATAAGAATGAAAAAGGAAAATTGATAACATTTTATCCCCACGGATTGACGCTATAACTTTACTTATATAATGGCTATAACGTGCGTAAGACAATAAATAAAATTTCAGGATAAAAACAAAAGCACATGAAAGAAAATCTTTTTTATTATCTTCTTTTCCTCACAGTCGAATAGCTTATTTTGACTCATAAGATGAAAATAATGACGAAATAATCATAAAATAAATGCCAGACATTTACATTAACGCCTCGTCATCGTCGGTAAGATGGAACTTCATACTTTTTTTTTGCATTATACACAATGGAGTCACATAACACATTAAAATAATTTATAGGCGACTCGCGGGCTCGGTAAAAATCAATGATAATAAATTAGCAAATCGTAAAATGACACATTTACTCGTACACATATATTGTAGATATATGAGAGCATTTAAAACCTGGCTCATAATTTTTTACCATTCATCAAATTTCACACATGAATTATTAATGTTGATGGACTCTTTACAGCCATTACATTACTTTCTAGCTTTTTTTTATTGAATTAAAAATTGAAAATTATTTCGTGACAGAAAAATTGACAGTTTTGAAAGCTTTTACGAGGCAATCATGCGAGGTTGTTCTAGAAAATATTTTTAATGTTTGAAAATAAAGTTTTGAAAGACATTCGTTTGATAAAAAATTAATCAAATAATTTTCTAAATTATTCAATTTGAAAAATTCGAGGAATTTTTATTTTCGTTGATTTTAGTGAGTTGAAAAGATTTTGAGAATTTTTTTTCAAAGTTTTTCAAGCATTTTTTTGGTAATTGATCAAATATAAAATTTATCTAAATCAGTCTTGCTCAACGTTTTCTATTAATTATAAGTTCTGACAGAAATCGCACATGTCATGCGGCTCCCAATGTTTTCACGGCAAATAGGTTTACCATCACTGATCTAAATGATTACTTTCAAATAAAGATATTCAGTGGTTTTGAAAATTATTTTTTAATCATTTTAATCATTATCGCCACAGCAAAGAGTTGAACTTTTTCGAAATTAATAACCAAAACTCCCTCCAAACTTTCGAAAATATATTTTAATAGATTTCCCAATCTATAGTGATAACTTTTTAGTAAAATGACGATTAGAATGACACACATTGACAATGTTTTAGAAACTCAACTTCAAACTCAATGTTTTGGCAATAACTTAAACTTTTACACCGTATAAACAATAAACAATTTATAACCGCAATTTATGACCTTAATTTCCTTTCCTTCGCAACAAAACAAATAAAAAAAAATCATGCAAATATTTATCATTCAATTAGTCGCACCTTAGTTTGTCTTTAACTTTTCAAAATTGCCATTTATTAACTTTTTAATGGCAATGTCCATTCAAGCTTTTCAAAAAGTCTTCTGTTGGTTGGCTATTTCAAGA